CTCTCGTCTATTTTTCCCCTGTCCTATCAATCACAGGCATAAAAATCCCCAAAATGATTTTTAAAAAAGGTTTTTAATTGCTGTAAATGTATTCCACAAAACAGTGCAGGTAGCAATCGTAACTTTCATTGTATTTGAAGGGTCTCTGATGGCGGTGCAACACAGATAATAAAATAAGAGAAAACAGGCATCAGTATGTCTGTGGGTATGTGGCTGTAACAGTAACGTGCAAGGTAAAACAAAGTAAGAATAATATACTTTATTATCAGCTGTTTGTCGATCAGTATAAAATTTTCAAACTATATATATATATACACATAATGGCAGAAATACAAAGGTTAACTGTACATGTCAGGCAGTCAGAACAAGTTGGCACCAGTTTTGTCATTTAAGGATTTGTGTGAAGTGCATTTGCTGAAAGAATCTGCTTAAAAAGTCAGTTTTTGGGTGATTTGGTATTGATGTGTCTGTAGTATAAAAGGCAGCTTCAGCAAGTTCTGTACATACTGTACAGGATGTCTCAAAGGAGGGTTATGTTCAGACATTCAGTGTCACTAAGTAGTAATCATATCTCTGTTTGAAAAGCCATGAGGAGGATTGGCTTTCTTGGTTAATTCAGAACCACAGCTGGGTTTCCAAAAACATCTCAAGATCTGCTTTATTTCTACTAAGTAGAACAAACCTGACCTTGACATGTTTCTGGAATCCCAGCCCAAGTATGTCTGGCCACAGGATTTTTGTGCCCTGGGTAGTGTTGTCTATCCCTGCATTCACACTAAAACTCAAGTTGCAAGCCATGTGACCCCAGCCTGTTGTTCTTTGTAAACAGAAACCCTTTTAATCCTTACATTTTGTAATTGGTGTAAAACTGGCCTCGCCTGATGGAATCAAACACAAGCGAGAGGCCACAGGAAATTTGATTGAAATTGCATTGCTAATTCATCTGTAAGAAAAAAACCTGAGGCGTGTGATTGGCTATCTCAGGCTGACTCTTAGCAGGAAGGTTCGGATCTCCATTGGCCTCAAGGTCACCTCCCATATGGAGGGGTCCTCGAACATCTTCAGCAGGGGCCTCTCCTCTGAAAAAGTTAAAAATATGAATAGGTGAAAAAAAAGACTAAATTTCTACCAATATGTTATGCATTTATCATATTTAATAGTAAGTTCAAGAACCAACTGTTCTTCAGTTCCCACATCGTCAGTCATGAACCAGCAGTAAAAGGGTCAAAGATAAAGATAATCAAATGTATGTAAACTTGCCTATGGCGACAGTAAAGTGATACAAATTCATTCTACCTCCTCTTAAAAAAAACGAGTTGTTGAGCCACTAAAACAGTTTACAGTTTACTATTAAAACTATGAACCATAACAATGCATTTATGACTCATTATATCACACTGCCTGCTTGATTAGTCCCTGCAGGGAAACAGTCTTTACAGTTAAGCTGACTGTAATGGAGCAGTGATTACCACCATTGTAGAATTAAAAAGCGTCAGTGGATTTCTGTATTTACTCTTCAATCTTCAGTCTACTGTTCAAACTGAACTGGAACCTCAACCACCAGCCAAGTGGTCCATCAGTGTCTGGCAGCTAACCAGCGGCAGCTTCAAGCCAAAGAGCTGACAGAATAATTCACCAACATTTGGCTGCATGGGGTTCATTTTTGGTGATTGTCAACTAATTTCGGAGTACAGGTTCTTTTTTCTGGTCACAAACAGGAGGTTAAAGGTCAGGGTTCAAACTTACTGTTTGTGGGAGGAGCTAAGGTGATGACATATCTCAACAACTTACAGGGAGTCATCCCCAGAATAAGAACCAGTGTTACCTAGTTTTCTTCTGGTGCTACCAAAAGTTCCTCTTCAATGCAAGAAACATCAGGATACCTTTTCAAATACACAACACTGAAAAGATTCTCTAATGTTAAATGTTGTATAAACACAAACAGCCATATAGAAACTAAATGAAATAGTGAATCAGGAACTCTCGTCCTCATTACATGTTCCTCCAGCCCAAATCTGCTTTCATCATGTCAAGAGCTAATGTAGTAAAACCTAATGACAGGTTTAGGTGTCCTGTACCTGTCATTGGTGTCCAATGAAAACGCTTCATCTCGTCTTTCCACTGATTGGCTGACAGGTTTAGTTCAGACACGCCCAGAACCTCCAGAGTGGAAAACAACTTCTACACGACCAGAGAGCAAGACAGGGTTACCAATTACATACATTTTATACCTTATATTTACTTTACTACAACATTGAATTTTATCTATAAAATGTCCACACAACACCAAGAAGCACTAAAACAAATCAAGCTGCTCATTAATAATCTGATCATTTCTGCTTTAGTCTTTATCATATCTGTAATTACACAGTGTGTCTCAGTGTCTGACCTGCAGGTTGACGGTGACGGGCTGTGAGTTCAGTTTGCTCTCCCAGCTCTGGAACTGATGCTCCAGTCTCAGCAGCACTGAGTCTTTGTCCCACTGCGTCAGTGTGAGCAGGTGCACAGCAGGGGGCAGCGCGGCCTGCAGCCCAGAGAACTACAGACAGACAGACACACCTACAGACAGACAGATGAGCACCACTGACTCGCTGTAACACATGCTCCAGTCACTCCGTTCGGCTGGGTAAAAACATTGTTGCTTTGACATTTAAGATTGATCTTGATTACAGGGCATCATTTCTCTCTAATTACTGCCATTAACGCTATGTGTCCCTAATTATTACTGGCTTTGAAAACATGTCAGCACAACTAGAGTTTAAAACTAACATCAGCTCAGACTGCTCTCTTGAGATCTGGTGAAATGGGAACGGATGTCGGAAAATGCAAATATGGACATACAGGAGACAGCTAGAAACACAAAGACCTTAACGGGCAGCAGACCGGCCGCATTAGTATGGGGCTGCAACTAACCATTATTTTCATTATCAATAAATTAATCTTATTTTCACAATTCATTGATTAACTGTCTAGTCTATAAAATGTTTAAAAAAGTTTCTCATTATAACTAATTTTTTGTGGTTATTTTACATTCAGACATTATTTGCGTTAAGGCCAATTCTTCACATGGCCTCCAAGATGGCACCTGACATGGCAGCTACCAAGTGTATTTATTATACATTTATTAACTCACCTCCAGTTGAGTGTTTGGGTGCAGGTCTCCATCAGTGAACGTCAGCAGCGGCTGCAGTACCACCTCCTGGGCCAGGGGGCGGTGTGCGTCAGCTGCGCTGGGCGGGCGGTCTAAGGAGAGCAGGAGGCTGCCTCGGACCACCAGCCCCTTTGGGAATATGCTAGAGGATTCGTTGAGAGGCTCGCCAACGCCACGGACGTCATCGTACAACAGCCGGCGGTGGAGCTGAGGGGGAGGAGGAGGGGAGGAGGGGAGGAGGAGTTAAGAGGGAGAGATACTTTATGTGTGTGTTTTTGTGTGTGTTCA